TAACACCTCACTGTGTTCCTAGTTATCAATTTTGTTGTTGTTGTTAGGTGCTGTTGAGTTGGTTCTGACTCAGTGACCCTATGAACAACAGAATGAAACATTGCCCAATCTTGCACCATCCTCAAAATCATTGCTATGTTTGAGCCTGTTGTTGCAGCCACTGGGACAATCCTCTTTTTCACTGACCCTCTACCTTACCAAGCATGATGTCCTTCTTCAGGGACTGGTTCCTCCTGATGACATGTCCAAAGTACACGGGACAAAGTCTCGCCATCTTTGATTTTAAGGAGCATTTTGTCTGTACTTCTTCCAAGACAGAGTTGTTCCTTCTTCTGGCAATCCATAGTATATTTAATATTCTTCACCAGCACCATATTCAAATGCATCACTTCTTCGGTCTTCCTTATTCATTGTCCAGCTTGCGCATGCATATGAGACAAATGAAAATCAATTTTAGAAGGTTCAATTTCCATATTTTGTATAACCAAATTTATAATTTAAATTTATACTTCTTTTGAAATCTGGCTCAAATCTACTTGTTCCATATTACATCATTCTCTGAGTAATTCTAGCTCACAATGAATCCCAATTTCAGGACTTACATTGTATTGGTGCTTATAATACATCTCATACTTAGACACATCTTCATTAATCCCTAGATACTGTATATATGTCTATGCATTTTATATTTTAATTTTTTTTCCTGGCCATATCAAGTATAGTTCCATAGTGTAATAGAAAGAATTGAAGATTCTTTACATTTAGAGAAGAATATAGAGTAGGGAGAATGGGTTAAAATTTATCTCCACTTTGGAAACAGAAACTCATTTTTTTCCCCCAGTGGAGAAGACCAACTCATTCAAATTACCATCAAGTATAAATGGACTGAAAATATGTAAAGGCATTAATAAGATCATATTTCTTTTGAGAATGTCAAAAAGATAAGGGAGGACTGTAATCAACTCTAGATCTCATCAGGTCATATTTATATGTTCTAGAGAAATGTAGAAGAGGCCACTGAGGAATTACCTCCTCTCTATATTATAGTCCCATTAACCATTGGATTTAAGACATTGGTGGTTCAGTGGTAGAATTCTTACCTTCCATGCAGAAGACTCAGGTTCGATTCTTGGCCAGTATACTTCATGAGCAGCCACTACCTGTTTGTCAGTGGAGGCTTGGGTGTTGCTATGATGCTGATGCTGAACAGGTTTTAGTGGAGCTTCCAGACTAAGGTGGGTTAGGAAGAAAAATCTCACAATCACCTTCCAAAAAATCAGCTGCTGAATACCCTGTGTATCACAATGATCCAATCTGGGACACCATGAATCAGGGGCAACTTGATGGCAGTTAACAACAACAACAGTAATTCTTTTGCCACAGTTATTCTAGTTCCATTTCTAGAGAAACAGTCATTCCTGTTAATAACTTATACTTTCGCTACCGTCTCCAACTTCCCCTAACCTTCCAAACCAAGCCACTTCATTTTTTCCTATAATTAAAATCCTAAATATTTAAAAGAAATTCTGTCAGATAGATATGACTTAAAAAACACTAAGGTTAGTTGTAGCCATTGTTACATTTAATAATCTTGTTAAGTCCCCTAAAACTACTTTTTGTTGTTAATTATTCTTTTTAATTTAGATAATAGGCATATCTCTTTGCTTCATGATTCAGAAATGTTGTAATATTTTTGTATGCTCTTTTGGTATTTTTTTTTTTTAGAAAGATGCTTTCTAAGTATACGGTTTGCTTTGTTTCTAAGCAAATATTTTAGGTTATAGTTCTAAAATAATTTTTAAAAAATGATGTGGTCACAGATATCACTAAGAATGAAGAGATTCATGTTTGAATACATTCCATTAGCATCGTTTTAAAAATGTGAGTATTTGCCTTTATTGCCTTCATTCCATTAAATAAAAACAAAAACAAAAAAAACAAACCCATTGCCGTTGTGTCAGTTCTGACTCATAGCATTAGCATCCTCTAAAAAATGTGAATATTGCCTTTATTTTAGGTGGGTTGGTCACTTCTATGCAAGTTAATAGAAATCTGTCCAGATACAATGCAGAACTTAATAGGACCCCAGGATGTTGGACATGATTGGGAAGTCCTTGGTGTTCACCAGTAAGTATGACAGATGTGTAAAAATAAATTGCATTGAGTATGTACCTAGGAATATTACAGTCCTTCCCTTGATACATTATATTTGCAATGCAAAGCTAATCTGGTAAAACCTTTTAAAATAAAGTTTTTTTTCCCTGAATCAATGATTTACATTTAAACTCAGAAGTGTGTCGTGTAATTGAGTTACCAAAACTACCATCTGAGGTCAAAGGAAAGGTGTTGTTACTTTAATACAGATAAGAATATAGAAAGGGATACAGTAGTCAAAACAGCCTGGTACTGGTACAACGACAGATACATTGACCAATGGGACAGAATTGAGAACCCAGATGTAAATCCATCCACCTACGGTCACCTGATCTTCGACAAGGGCCCAAAGTCCATCAAATGGGG